AGACCATCTTTGCTACACGGGCTGCCACCCGTGTGTCCCCAGGTGCACCTGAAGCCTCCCCTCATCACCATTTGCCCCATCTGGACAACCCTGGGAGAAATGAAAAGGGGTGCCCAGGCTGGTGGCAGCCCTGGGACGGGGTCGGCTTCTCTGCATCTCTCTCTTACCCCTCAAATCCTCCCTACATGTCCGTACTTACCTGCTTTTCCAAAATACTGCCTTAGTTTTCCCCTTCTCAAGCTACTTACTCCTCCCTTTCGTCCGCCTCCTGCCTGCCTCCATAAGGAATGGACAGGGCTTGCTGGGAGCGCCGTATGTTGGCATTTCGAAGACTCTGGGTGCTCTGGGCTATTTTCATCTGGGCTAGCTGGCAGAAGAGCATTCGTCTCCTCTTCAGATGTCCATCTAGTGAAAGGGTGGTGCTTTTCTGAGTGCTTGTAGTTTCTAGAAGTTTAAACCTTAAAAGAGTAAAGCATTTTTCTACTTCTCCAAGAGCAAAGCCAGTGGTTTATGCTGATGCTGAAAGTCAGTCAACGGGCAGGAGCCCATTCATTTCTCCTATTTTGTATGCCACCCCACATGCCCGGATGATGGTATTTGTTAATAATGACATGGCAGATTATGACACTGCACTGAATACTGTACTCATTTCTCTGGCCTAAAGATGAATTATATCCAATCCTGAAAAAAAAAATCAATGGTGATGTATTACAGCATGATCTATGGCTTCTATCCTTGGGAGCATTAAGAAAGCATGGGAATTTGTTTTCTCCAGCCTGTAACTTATCGATGGGGGATGCATGGTGTATATTTAAACTCCCAGACCTATGATGGATATTTTTTTTCTCTGCGAAACATCTATATCTTGTAAATAGAATTTTATAAATATTTGTGGAACAGAAAAATTCTCTAGTCCTTTCAAATTGCCACACTCTGTGTTGATTTATCTCATCTGTTGAAGAATACCACACTTTCTCTCCTCTGGTTATAGCACATCTTGTGGAACTCTGGACTCCCCATCACTCAATGTCTGGTGAGCATCCACATTTTCTAGTTACCCACTGACTAGCTGAAAATAGCCTTAGTTGTCGGCATGGGCTAAGGGGCTGGAAAAAATTCCCCTTAAGTAAAAATACCCCTCACCCTGATGCCACTCTGAGAAATGGTCCCCTTCAGAAGCCCACTCACAGGTAGGGGGTGGGCAGCCACCATTGGGTGAAGGAACAATCAGGGAGAGAGAAAGCATGAAGGGAAGGCCTGCCCAGGCTTTCAGGTGCTGGTGGCCATCCTTGCGCATGACTACCAACTGTTGTTTTGTGACGTTTACTCATACCCTCGACACCAAGCTGGGGGAGAGACCTGTTGATACAACAGTTCACGGAGCCCACCGATGGTTCACTGAGCATGAAGGAGGAGAGGCTGGAGGAGAGAGGGGCGTCGTGCCGGCCCTGGAGGATCCCCTTCTGACTAGGGACGACCCTGACGTGAAGCGAGACAGACTCAAAGGCCTGAGGGAGTGTCTGTGGGTGTTTCCTGTCCAAACCTCACGTCATCCCAGCCCCTCAGGCATCCTGAGAGCTCTCCCTGCCTTCCCTGTTCTGCTCCTTGACTCCAGGCCACCGTGCTGGAGGCTGTGGTGTGCTTCTTCTCTGTCTGGTCTATCGTCGGCCTCTCGGGTTTCCACACGTACCTGATCAGCTCCAACCAGACGACGAATGAAGACGTAAGTTCCTGGCGGGCCGGGGTGGTGGGTGTGGGCACCTGTGTCCAGAGATGGAGGGGGAAAGGAGACGAGCTTGGGGGCCAAGGCCTTCCGCACATCCCATTCCAGATGTGAGCCTCTGGGAGCCAAGAATGTGCCGTGGAAGCATCTTCAGACGTCGACCTCCATGATTCCCAGTTGGGGATCTCTGAATTGTCTTACTTTCTGAACACGCAGTCAGATACTGAGGTCAGCTAAGTGACACCCAATTCCAAAGGGAGGAGATTATCTTCTCTTCCTTTTCAGTAGTTTTGTGAGTCCCCTAAAGAGAGACCGTGGCCGGCTGACATCTCGGGGTGAACGAATGAATCCACCTCTCATGTTTAACACCTCCGTTTCGTTTTTGGAGGAGACCGCCCCGACCCAGAGTTTTACTTTTTGTCCGGGATTACCTGTCTATACTTAATGTGGCCAGAGAGGAGGTATAAAAACAGGAATCATAATGTTGGAAATGTTCCTCATCGACCTGGTCCTCTTTGCTCTGAATATTTAGATTCTGACAAAAGTCTCTGTCAGTACAGTGATTAAATGTCTCAGATTCAGTCAGATTGCCTTAAAGCCTTGATGAGATACATGAGTTAAGAGAACTTATGTTTGGTAACTGTGGATATTCGAATCTGTGAAATTATTTTGGCGACATTGTGAGGCCAAATGCAGACAGGCTGTAAGTTGGCGGTTGGGGGAGCCATGTTAACTCTCAGCTATCGTTCATTTAATTACTGTTGAGCATGCCAACTGGGAGCCTGAAACAAACCACGGGTTTGTATGAGTTGACCTCTGGAACCATGTAATAGAAACAAGAGATTATTTTCCCCAAAGAATGTAACTTTCTCTCTAATCTGACCTGCCTTTTGGGGATATTTCCAAGTTTGGGGTAAATACCAGTTTTCCTGGAGAAAGTGTCTCAGTTTCTCCTGGTGAAGAAGTGAGTGAAGATGATTTGCATTCTTTGTGGGCTTCTCACGCTCCCTTTCACCTAAACGATGGCATTGGTGTTATTGATTCTCTTTTTCTTTCAGATTAAAGGATCTTGGTCAAATAAAAGAGGCAAAGAAAATTACAATCCCTACAGCTACGGGAATATCTTCACAAATTGCTGTGTTGCCCTGTGTGGGCCCATCTCTCCAAGGTGAGATTCGGAAAGTGTCATGCTCTTTATCAGACCTCGGGAAAGCCAACAACTTAGCTGTGGCAGCACAGCCCTCGTGAGGTGGAGACCCGGCCACAAAACCCACTGTGAGATTTGATTACACCCTCTGGATGACCACAGGGCCAGTGGTCGGCTTTGGGCCGTGGAGACGCGGCCCCGGTGCAATAGGGATCTGGCTCTGTTTATGGTGCTGTTCCTGCCATCTTTTTGGTTCTTTCACCGAATTTGTGTCAAGGATGAGGAAAATCTCCTAAGGATTGAAATAGGGAAACTGAGGCATGTGATTCCCATTAATTATTGAGTCATCTTGAGCATCGATGATGAACAGAGAGCTGCAGTTATCTTGGTAGGAGGGCCAGGATGCAATGTAGGAAGCAATTAGGAAACCTGTAGAAATTGGTGCTAAGAGCTGAGTTATATAGAATATACACGCTAAAATAGTTCAGGTGGAGAGATCAGTGTGGGCTGAAGCAGTCCAGGCCGTGTGGATGGTAACACGACAGTGTGTGGTGGCAGAGTCGCGGACATTCATGAACAGTGTTAGATCTGCTCTAAGTGCTTTATATGTATCAGCTTTTAAAGATTTCATTTATTTAGAGAGTGCGTGCACCCAAGCAGGGGGAGGGGCAGAGGGAGAGAGAATCTGAAGCAGACTCTGCGCTGAGCATGGCGCCCGATGTGGGGCTCGATCTCACAGCCCTGAGATCACAACCTGAGCTAAAATCAAGAGTCAGCCGCTCAACCAACTGAGCCATCCAGGCGTCCCTATATGAATCAGCTCTTAAATCCTCGCTCTGTACCTAAGAGGTAGGTACCATTAGATCCCATTTTGTGGATGAGGAAGCTGGCACAGAGAGGTTCCATAACGTGCCCACGTTCACTGAGCTAGTAAATGCCACCTAGTCAGGACCCAAACCCAGGCCTCTGGCAACAGACCTAGCGTGCATGTGGAATGGTGCGTGCTGTCCCCCAGGCAGACTACACAAGTACAGAATGCATTCAGCTCCTGATTATTTGTGAGTTGACTCTCAGGTAGAGCATTTCCAACAGATTCATCAAATAATCATCCAACATATTTATTAAGCATGTGTTCCAAGTCTCTAGAATGAGTTTCCAAAACATTGCTACTTCCTCCCTTTTGGCCTCTAAATGCATAAATGGACTTCACGAAAGCTGCAGGGATGGTCTCCGAGGCAGCCCCACTCTGCACTTGGACCTCCGTGGCCAGTCATCGCCAATGTGTACTCATGGAATGCAAACTTGATTTTATTATCAGCCTCACTGAATATCATCAGGGAAGTAAGAGTGCTGCCCTCCCTCCCAGAAACAAAATCCAAGCATACGTTCTGAGGCCAAGTATTAATGGGTTATGTTACTGGCACTACTGGGTAATTAGAAATTGATTGTTTTCTAGTTTGGGCCTAGAAAGTTGGGAGCCTACTGTGCCACTCTCCTCCCAAACTGGGGCCCCTCAGGAGCCCCCTGGTCTGTTCCTCAGAGGCCTCTTCTGAGGAGGGGCTGCAGGAAGGGACAGCCAAGGACTCTGAATGAAGGGCCACCTTGGGCTGGGGAGTCAGACATGCCTGGGAGGGTGTCAGCCTCTCTCCAAGAGAGCTCCAGACCCACCCAGAAATCCCTGTTGGGGCTCTTTAGGGGCCCAGAAAACCCTTCAGGAAATGCTTGGTTTTTTACAACTTGGCTTTGTTTCCTCCTACCATGTATTTACTTGTGGATCATGGGGTCAGGCCATGAAGCCCAGGCTAGGGGCCTCGGAGGAGCATAAGAGGACAATGGAACAGGCCTCCTTCCCCAAGTCTAAAATGCACATCTGAATCCAGGAAAGGAATTTAGAAGTCTCACATTTTGAGCAAATCTCTTTTCTTGTTCCCCATTCTTCGATTTGCATTTGGCGCTGCTTTGTATTGTTTATATATCAAATCTTGTCACAACCAAACTTATGGCTTCCACGACTGGATAAGATTTCCTACTGTGGCTGAGTTGGGGCTGTATTCTTTCCAGAACCCAGGTCCCTGTGAATGGGGCATTTCTCGAGGACAGCACCCCCGCGGAACCCCGTGAACCGCTCCCGGGTTTGTGCAGGGAACATGGGCTGCTGGGCTCTCCCGCTGTGCCCACAGGCTCCCGGAGCTGGCCCTGGGCAGAAATGACAGGAGGATAGTGCTTGTCTTTGCTTCTGCCTCCAGTCGCCTTCTGTGCCCCTTCTCTCTCTGCCCTACCTCACCCACCCTGGTGCCCCTAAGAGGGCCAGAACCTTCCACGGGCATCCCAGCCAAGCCTGTGCAACGGTGACTAAGAACCACGAGCATGCCCAGAATCGTGTGCCTGAGTTGCCTCTAAAATGTTCTGAAATGGTGTAACGATGTGCTCATCAGAGCGTCTTCCTGTTTCCCTCTGAGAGCTATGAACCATGAGGGCAAAGACCCACATTTGGTTCCCTGCATGGGTCCCCAGGGCTGTGCATGGCAGCAGGGTAGGAATGGCCAGGTTTGGGGGAGGAGGTCCTCCTACGAGTCTAGCAGAGGGAATGGAAAATTGGAAAGAGAGAAAGTCCCAAGGTGTGATCAGGGTCAGGCTCTGCGGGCTGGTGCTAAGGGTCAACCTGTCACTGACAGATTGAATAGAATGGCAAGTCTACACAGTCAAAGAGTGGCTGTGACAGAGGGCAGGGTGCAGGTTCCATGGGACACCCAGGAGGGCTTCCCAGAAGAGGGGGCCTAAGTTGTCATCTATTGTAATGATGAGTAGGAACTGGAGGAAGGAATCTTGGGGAGGACACACGGGAGCAGCCTGTGCAACGGCCCTGAGGTGAAAGGAGAGTGTGGCCCGTCAGGGGAGGAGCTGAAAGAGCTCGGGTTAGGAGTGAGGGGACCACGGAGGGCAAGGCAAGAAGTGAGGCAAGGGGAGCACGTCCAGATTAGAGGGGCTCCCAGGTCATTGTGAGGCCTGAAAGGAGACTCGGGAGAGAATGTTACAGTCTTGGCTGTGTGGATGGTCCATGAAACAAACTGAACACAGGATGAAAGCTGAGAAGGAGTTTATTTTGTCCTCCCTTCTGTCCTTTCAGACTCTTTGGATGACCTCATTTTTTGTTTTTGTTTTTGTTTTGCTCCTGAATGAAATCCCCTGCAAGCCCTTTAATTTCTCCTGTCACCTAAAAATGGAACAAAACAAAGGACTCAGGGCACTTTCATGTCCTTGAGCATCGTGTCATTTCCGTGAGTAGGGACCCGGGAGTTCACTGAAAGGCAACACTCTCCACCCCTTCACCTGTAGCCACGTTAGGATTTCAGCACATCTTTTGGGAAGACACAGTTCCATCCCCACTGCACACTGGCTCTGTCCCAGGGGACCTGCAAGGTTCCCGTCCGCCGTGGGCTGCAGATGAGCGCTTGTCCACCCTTCTTTGCTCTTTCCACTTTGCTCTTCTGTGCCCTCGCAAGGGGTCACACACTTGGTGTGAGCTGCACGGGGCTCCCGCACTCCCCTTTGGAAGATGGAGGTTCTTGTCGACTGTTAGTTTTTCTAAACCTCTGGGAATCCAACCAAAACTGGAAGCAGAGAGAGTCCCATTGTCACAAGTATTTTTTCACGCCTTGTTACCGTGTCGTCTGGAGACCTGCAGGTGCTAGTTGGGAAAATTCCTGTCTCCTGAGAGCCAAACTGACAAGGAGGAGGGCGGCCTCAGCACACCAGCAGTCCACCCTCAGGAGGAGGGGACGTGTGGGCACCTGGATGCACCTGCGGCATCTCGCCGAGGCTGCGGGGCGCGCGGCCGAGCCCCACACGGTGGGGGCCACACCAGGAGCGCCCACTCGTAAGCTGGACCTCCCCCTTGCCCTTTGCAGTCCTGCCCTTAGACTCGAGGTCAACACTGAGCCTTCGCTCGGGGAGGAAAAGAGGCAGCTCTTTTGATGGCAACGTAAAGCTTTCCCCTACATCCTGTCTGGGCCACAGCAGCCCCCCAGCCATGGGGCACAGAAGAGATGGCTTTATTATTCATTAATGATGCCATTAGTCTGCAAACTTGCCTGTGGGAGACAGGGACCCACTTCTATTAATTCAGCCACCAAGCTTCTTCTCAGCTCCTAGTGGGCGTCCGCTGTGGAGCTCGATGATTAGGAAGACCTGGTTCTTGCCCTTCTGAAGCTTACACTCCACGACAGACGCAAATCTGGAAGCGGGTGATGCCGACATGATGTAGCCAACAGGGTGCTCTGAGGGGACAGCGGAGGGGCCCGGTCGGGGGGGGGGGGGCAAGTGCTTTGGGGGAAGAAAAGATGAAGACTGCCCTCCGGAGCTGGCAGGCTGCTAGACAGAGGGGACTGTAGATAAAATCACGGCGACGCAGGCAGAAAGTGGTACGCAGCACTAGAGTCACGGGGAGGGCCGGGAGACGCCAGAGAGGGGCAAGAGCACGGGCTGGGGGCTTTGGAAGCTGCCCGTGAAGAACGGACAGTGGAATGGAAGGGAGAGCGACTGGGGCGAGACAAACCCGAGCTGCAGCGAAATGCAGGGACAGCCAGCACGGAGCGCGAGCGGGCTGGGGCGGGGCTTCCGCCGCGTGCCGCGCGCAGGCGCAGGCAGGTACCACGCGCCTCCGGAAGGAGTGGACCCGGGAACGCTGTGCTTGCAGTAAGAAGGCACGGGCTGAGGCTGGGGCGGGAAGTGGGGACAAGTGGTAAGAGGCTGCGGAGTGTTGGCGAGTGATGGAGCGCCCCCACAGCGGGGCAGGCAGGCGGGGAGACCTCATGAGGACTGGGCGCTAGGCGGAGAGGGCCGCTGGCCATGCCGGGTGTGGTTGCGGGGGCTGGGGACGGGGTGGGAGACCATGGGAGTCCGCAGCAGGTGGCAGGGAGGGAACAGGGGCTACAGGCATTTTTTGAAGGCAAGGGTGACGGAATTTGGTCCCTGACTGTACGTGAAGGTAAGTCAGGGTGTAGCCCCAGCTGCCGGCAGTGGGGCCCCACATAGAAAGAGGGAGCCCCAAATGGCAATTAAAATAGGGTTGATGGCATTTTTGGCTTTTCGTTCACTCTCTTCCTCCATATTGCTTTGTTTTCTCTGGCAGCCTCATTGACAGAAGAGGGTACATCCAGCCTGACACGCCACAGCCAGCCGCACCCTCCGACGGGATTGCCGCGTACGGGGCCACGCAGTCCCAGAGCGACATGGTAGGAGCGCCTGCCGCAGGGGCCAGAGCTCCCTGCAGAGGCTTCCCTTCTGCTTCTGTGTCACTAACCCAGTAACACACCAAGCACCCCTAGAAACCTGCCCGGGACGCCCATCAACTGAAAGGCTCACGCGAGGGAAAGGAAGCGTGAAAGAAAGCAGTGCCGGAGAAAGGATTAGGGCCGTTGAGTGGTTGGTGTGTTCCGGGTCGCGTAAGGGAAGTACACATGAAAAGGTCTTCCAGAGACAGGTCATGGCACCTTGTGATGGAAAGTCCCCTTGCACAGAACCAGGGTGCTGTCTGGGGGATGAGATACAGCTGCTCGTACCAGGGCTGGCTGGCCGGATAGCCCCTTTCTGTGCCTTTGCCTCACTCCGTGCCGACCTCCCCCAGCCCTCTTGAAGGGTGCAGTGGGTGGCCAGTTCTCCCCACTCTCAGCCCAAACCTTAGATCAGCCACGCATACCTTAATGCACATAATCAGACGAGGTGTTCTTGATTCAGAGCCCAAACTGAGCGAGTCTCTCCAAAGAGGGCTCACAGGTGTCCTGCGAGGCATGGAACGTGGACAGGCTTTGTTTCCAGTCTGCAGGTGGGAGACTTGGGGCCAGGGCGGGAGCCCCTCCATGGGTACCTGAAAGCACAGTCAGGCCTGGCTCTGACCACCAGTCCCTTAAAAATCCTTAGGTGTCTGGAAGACAGTGGTTTCACTTTATCTGGAACAGATTTCCCTAAAGAAGTTCCATGTTTCAGAAAGGGACCCAGTCTGCAGCGCCCCCCCTTGGAGCTTTTTGTTCTTTGTAGACTGGAATCACCTGCAACAGAGTTTCCATAACAAGCAGGTCAAAGACCTGCCTTTGGGGTAGACTGGGAAAATGACAGCCTCCTGGACGCTTTGTTTCTGCTTATAAAGAACTAACTGCAAGGTGAAAGCCAACAGTCTCAAGACAGTCTCTCTAAGCGCTCAGGGCTAAGGGAAAGCGCACCATCCCCGCGACCCTGTGGCTGTGTTAACAGCCCTGAGAATGGGCTCCGGCCCCCAGCAGAAGCTTGCTGGGGTTGGTTGTTGCTAGTGGTGGTGTCTAGTTTGTGTTGTGGTGCTTTGCTTTGCTGATAAAGCGTCTCCTTGAAAGGCAAGTACATGCAGGTCACGGTCCTGGCCACTCCACTCTGTAAGTGGTCACAGGACATCTTGTTCTGTCCTCATTCACCCACACAAATGACCCTTACGGGTCACCGCCTTATTTTTCAGAGGAGGAAAATGAGGACAGAGAGTGTAAGGAGAGAGGCCCAAGGAGATTACATGTATTTGGCACCAACTGTGTTCAAAGCACTTGATGAGCAGAATCTTGTTTAATCCAAACCAACAATGGCAAATGGGCATGCTTGTCTTTGCTTTTTTTTTTTTTTTAAAGGTAGAAGAGGTAGATCATCTGCCCAAGGGCACATAGCCACGAATTTGTGGATCCAAAACCAGTCTGATGGGTAACGCCCGTGTTCACTTCGTATACTGCTTCCTTTACGTGAACAGGCACTAAAGACAACAATATCCATGTTCAGGAGTCCTTCTCAGCTATCGGAAGGTGCACAGTAAATGTCCCGTAAGGACAAAGTTCTTGTAAGGAACCCTGACCACGGCAGCCACTGATAACTCCTGTGATGTGTGTTCATGTTTTCACACATCGCATATATAACCTCTCACTCATTCAGTGACTCTTCCTGAGTCCCTACTGTGTGTTGAGGACTTGACTCGGCAGTAGGGATGCAAGATCTGTGGAGTGCAGTCGCTCTGTCCCCGAGGAGGCCGCGCTCCGGGGACAGGACACACGCACACGTGAAGGATATAGTAGGAACCTTCACGAGAAGAAAACTCTGATGGCAGTGGTCCTTATCAAAATTAAAGAACTTACGTGAGTTTCACCCCGTGACTCCCATGGTACGGAGCCCACCATGCTCTGCACTTTCTCTAGATTTAAGAAGTAAACAAGGCCCCCTTCAAGGTGTTGACACTGTTCAGCCTGTTTATGATAAGATGGGATGAGGGCATAAGTTATTAGTTCCACAAACATTTATTGAGCACCTACTGTGCGCCTCTATGATAGAGAGGGCAGATTTAACAAAGGGACCAGGGAGGTCATTTCGCTCCATACGGTTAATCAGAGTCATCAGAATTGCTCTTGTGCCTCTGGGGTCCAGGCCGTCTAGACCTGCGCAGTGACTCAGTTAAGGCCATACCCCCGAGGGCACTGGCCTGGCAGCAATGATTAGGGTGCCACTGCCTCTTCCCATGGGAAGGCCACCTCCCAAGTAGCCAGTGACCCTGAAGGCACTGGTCTGTGGTGCCATAAGGATTGTTTGAAGAGGACATTTCTGAGATGAAGAAGCTGTAACGGCGAAGCAGCGCCATTACTAAGCCCTTGTCATTCAGTCCAGCGTACGGATCCTTTCTAAGGCATCACTTTGTCTCCAGCTTGGGCTCTTAGGTCAGGAAGCATGAAAATATTTTTAAAAACCTCAGGCTCCTTGCCCTCCTGTTCTCCCTTCTCTCTGGAGATAAACTGCACATGTTAAGCGCTGGTCAGATCAGGGGCTCGAGCAGAGCTCTGACCTATCATGGAGCCTCCTCAGGCTCAACTCGGGTCTTCCTTATTCTCCTCTCCAAGCCGGGATGGGGATTAATTGTGCAAAGAGCCAGGCTTCTGCCACTTACTAGATGAGTGACCTTGGCAAACTGCTTAACCTTCTGCTTCAATGTTTTCATCCATAAAATGGGAACATTGATATCTTTACCTTGTAGGGTTTCTGTGGGGATTAAGTGAGTTAATGCATGTTAAGCACTTAAAACCTTGTCTAGCACAAGGTAAGTATTATTTAAGTATTAGCTATATTATTATTATTATTATCATCATCATCTCCCTGATATCCATGGTGACAAGATCTTCCAGGTCAGTTGCATCCACGCTGAGCAACTGGACAACAATGGACAAGACTCGGGTGAGGGAAAGAGCCTCAGTGGGAAGCAGAGAGTGAGAGCTCCAGTCCTGGCTCCCACCAGTTATCTCCCTGACGATTAGCAAGTCACTCTGCTTCTGTGGTCCTCAGTTTTCCCCACCTGCAAAATGGGAGCTGGGACTAATTTGTCTCTAAAGTCCCATCTAGCTGGAAGCTCTTTGTGAGTCTCTGATCTTTGCAGCTTGACAGATTGGTCAGAAGAGCAGAGGTCTGGGCTTCATACCAAAACTTCCCCTTCTTATTTGTCTCATATTTCTCAAATCTCTAGGATAAATCCTACCTAGCCGTGATGTATAATCCCTTTTATAAGTTGCTGGATTCAGTTTGCTGGTGTTTTGTTGAGGATTTTTATATCTATATCCATAAAAGATTTTGGTCTGCAGTTTCCTTTTCTTGTTTTGTCTGGTGTTGGGATCAGGGTAATATTAGCTTCATAGACTGAGTTGAGAAGTGTTTCTTCCTCTTTTGTTTTTTTGGAAGAATTTATGAAGAACTGGGATTAATTCTTTTTAAAAGATCTGGTAGAATTCACCAGTGAAGCCATCTGGTCCTGAGCTTTTCTTTGTGGGTAGCTTTTTGATTATGAATTCACTCACTACTTTTTACAGGTCTATTCAGATTTTCCACTTCTTCTTGAGTCAGTTTTAATGGTACATGTCTTTCTAGGAATTTATTTTACAAAGTTATCTAATTTGTTGCCCTTGTCTCTTTGGTCATACATCAGTATTGTTTTATTATGGAAATAGATGAAAGGAGGAAAAGTTAAGGACTGGAAAAGTAAAAACAAATAGAAAATGAGAGGAATCTGTAGAAGTGAAGGGAGAGGGCAGCAGTAGCCCAGGACCATGGTGAGAGAGAAGGAACACAGGTGGAGTGAGCCCGGAGCTGGGAAATTGGGTGTTTTAGGTTTCTCACATGCTGTGAAATGCATGTACCTCCCCCAGCGTGGGCTGCAGGTCCTGCTCTGAGTAATGTTAGGACCAGGAGAAATATGCAAGCAGTTTCCAGGAATTGTCAAAATACGGAAAAAGGAGCTGAAATATTTCAAGACTGAAAATAAACTAATTCCTTGAGGCAAATTGTAACATGCCTTTCTTTTGACTTGCTTCGTCTGCCTCCAACAGACACCCCAACCAAGACCACCACAAACTGAGCCAACACATCAGGACCAGCAGTGCTTGGCCAGAAGGAAGCCCAATCCCTGCAGGTTTTCTAGTGTCTGAGGCAGCACCCAGGCCCTTACCTTCTGCTCTTTAGGACATGTGCATCATCACTAAGAGCAATTTGTCCACAAGCAATCCACCACCTTCCTTTTTATTTATTTATTTCATTTATTAAATAAAATTAGAGCTCACGATCAATAAAAAACATTCTTGTGTCCCAGTCCCCAATTAGACAGATGTGAAAACTGGCTTTAAATCCTTTAAAGTTGAATTTAAATCACAAGGTGATTAAAAAAAAAAAAAACAAGGTGAATTTCAGGCAGTTTTAAAAGTGGAACCAAGTTTATTTAATACAGAATTATACTGTAGTCAAGTGGGTTTCTGCTGGGGTTTATCACTCTTTGCAATCATCAGAGTGTGGACAGTATTGATAGTGTTACTGCAAGGATCATCTCATTTAATCCCCACAACAACCTGCAAGGTGTTCCCATTTTACAAAGCATGAAACTGAGGCTTTAGAATAATGACTGGCTTGCTCAAAGTCACACAGCTAGTGGGTCAAGGCCTGGTTGTTTTCCGCTAATTCTACTTCAGAAGCCCTCAAACTGGTGTTAGCTGAACCTCTTCAGATCTTGCCCTTACATCTGGCAGCTGAGCTTACTATAATCTAGTGGGCCTCAGCCTTGGATGAACATTAGGATCACAACGCTGATATCCTGAGCCCAGTTAAGTCAGAATCCCCAGGTGGTGGTCCAAGCATTGGCGTTATAATGATCCTGGAGGTGATTTTAATCATCAGCCAGCACTGAAAACCATCACGATAGCCT